TCGCGACTGCTTCTGCGCAGAGCTGATAAGACGAGCGGACGAGACGACGGTGAGCTAAACAAGGTTTATGTACAGCCTATTTACAGAGGCGTTACAATTTCGGCACTGGGGCCGACAGAGACTCGCAGAGCCGAGCTCTTCTCTCTAACACATAGTTCAGCCTTTCGCCTAAGACCGCTGACTCACACACATGTCGGCGCTCCGACACGGGGACGCCTCTCACATAGGACCGCCGATCGCGACGCGCCGCAGGGCTTCTTTTATTTACACCGGGTCCAACCACAATGTCCAATCAGAAGCGCCGCTGGTCGTCCGGGCAGATTCCGCCAATGGGGGTCGCCGCGCCATGCGTCAGACCACCTGACACGAGGACGCCGGCTCGCTGTCACGTGCGCAACTGACTCACTGCACGTGGGCCAGAGGAGCGCCGCGCGTGTTCACGCCGTCGAGATGTTCGCGTCGGGCAGACGGCGGGCTGGCCTTGACCCAGATTGCCTTTTTCAGAGGCACGGTCGTTTGACGAGGACTCGCTGGCATAACAATATCGACAGCGCAGCTCTGGCCGACCGGGTTGGTCCTACTCCACCTCCTGCCGCCGACAAGAGCTCTCGCAAGTGGTGCCCCGTCCTCGGACTCCTGTGACCGTGTTTCATCTTTCCTATCTCTCTTATGTCGTCGCTCACTGTCCCTGCGCATCTCTCTGTGTTTATCTATCTCTCTCTCCGGGCCTTTAATTCTATCCTTTTAATCCCTCCTCACCCCCATCCCTCGTGAGCTACTGTTGAGGTGTCGCACTTTGATGGAGACAGTTACGGGGCTCACTTTTCTGTTCTCTTCTCTTTAAGAATAACTTTAGAATCACTTGAGACGAAAATGCTTGAGGCCCATGTACTTGGATTTAGGTGCGCGTTAAAAAAAACAGCTGTTTAGAATTTACAGAGCTCCCCCCCCCCCCCGACGCTCCTCGTAATCATATTATGGTTTTGGGACGTTAAACTTCAACAAATATATATTATCAAGTGGTAATTTTCAAGAAAGTATAACCAGAATTTTTTTTAGCAGGTGTAGGGATTGAACCACCTACACCAACCTCCTGGCACAAATTTCTAACCAAACATGTTGCAGAGGCCTTCCTTAGTTAGACCGGAAGAGAAATGCGAACAGGAACGAAGTTAAGTGCAGACCGGAAGAAAACAGGAAGTGATATCAAGGCACCCGAGTGGCAACCTGAAGTCACTTGGCCGACTGGTAGTTGCATAGCGGAAGCAGGGCGTGATCAGGCAGGCTCTCCGAACTTATTTCCAAAAAGTGACCTGTTCTGTGACAGCAACTAGCAGCGGCAGCGCAGCTGGTTGGCAAAACGCGTCAGTATCACCGCAAGGGTGAAACAATGAATGCGATAGCAACAAATCGGAATATTATACTTATTAAAGTTAGTAGTAGTAGACCCCATTAGGATCCGATTTTGTGCGATTCTACAAAATGATATTACTACTAGACCCCTCTCCCATTCACTGCCACACTTTCCGGCTCCTTCGTCCGACGAATCTGGCCACCGCGTTTCACCTCTGGTTGAGCCACGCCCGTCTGTCACCTTCGCAAGCTTTTGCTCGCACTTAGCAAATACGACGTGCGGGACATTATTGATTTGTAATTCATATGAAACAGAATGGCGAGGGCATGACTGTGCCTATTGCAATAAAATAATTTTGCTTCACCGTAGATTATTGCGTGTCATTGTCCCGTGCCTGCTGAGTGTTAGGCTGATTGTCAAATCTAGAACAACATTCGCAGGCGCTGCTATTTTTTATTTGCCCCGTTCAAAAGTGCTCTTTTCGCATAAGCGCGCATATAATGACCCAAGTTATCAAACAGCTGACGTGTAAGACGTGGGAAGTTTTGATGCATGGTTTACCAAATGTCAGGCTGATGAATGTGATGGTGATCTGGCAGCCGCTCGGGAACATCTTGCTGATGAGATGCGCGACAGGAATTGCGGCCACACCGTACGCCCAGAACAGCGTGAGTGATGACACTGCGACAAGATAGATAGATAGATAGATAGATAGATAGATAGATAGATAGATAGATAGATAGATAGATAGATAGATAGATAGATCAGCATTCTATTGTGGAAATGGCGCTTCATAAAGCTTGTGGCACAGATACATCCCTTGAACCGGATTTTGTCAGACATAGATAGATAGATAGATAGATAGATAGATAGATAGATAGATAGATAGATAGATAGATAGATCAGCATTCTATCGTGGAAATGGCGCTTCATAAAGCTTGTGGCACAGATACATCCCTTGAACCGGATTTTGTGCTGAGCCCCCCAAGCTGCTCGCGTATACCCAATGTTTTCCGCTTTTAAACGCGACACTGTTAAAGGGCTCATTTCGCAGAAATTTCGATGTCGGCGTTGTTGGTTGTGAGTGAAAAATCGTCTACTTATTCGTGACCGAAAAATCGAGAAAGGTGCAAATAAAATAAATGAAACAAAATTCTGGTTGAGAGTGGGCATCGAACCAGGGTTGTTTGCGTGGCAAGCGGATGTTCTACCACACGGCCACGCGTTGTGGAAATAACTTCCTCTGCTTGGAAATGCAGTGGAAGCAGCTGTCATGGTTTACAAACACACGTGTCCTGTGTACATGTTTCACACTGCAGCATAAAATATTGCAGCAATAATGCGTGTTACAAGCGCCGATTGCCAGCGGGCGCCAGAACAAGTGATTATCATAATGATATCATAATGAAAAAGGTCTCATACACTAAGTGTTTGAAGCACGCACTAGAAACAGGATATCCCTATCGTGTTTAACTCATACAGACGATGCTTTAGGGTCACCTACTTTTTTTACCCTCCTTGTTTGTGTGTGAGGGGAGGGGGGTGAAATGGAAACAAAAAAGCGCAACTATTGAGAATGCAAGACACAGCTAGGGGCTGCCCGCATGAAAAGTGGGTGCAGCAATTCACTAGTGGTGCGAAGACAAGGAAAACAACGAAGCTGATCGACCTTCCCCTTCTCCTTTCTTACCCTGACATTACTCCTTCTCACTTCTCTTCGCCACCTTCTTGCTACACTCTAGTATACGCATGGCAATCTGCCCTTTCATCTCCTTCTTTTCACCCCAATTTTCCCCCCATCTCTTTTACATGGCTGTGCTATGCTTTCACCATCTTTTCATTTCTGTCCATCTTCCTTACCGACTATTTTTTCACGTTCTCTCACCCATAGCAGTGCAACTAAATGGTTCTAAATATCACCTGTTCTGCTGCCGTGTCTGAATAGCCGAGTGATTATAACGCTCGCCCTCACACCGCGGGCACCCGGGTTCAGATTCCGCCTCGCCTAAAAATTTTGTTTTATCTCTTCCTCATTTATTTACTCCCCTCCCCCCATTCTACTCACGTCGTCGAGCATAGTACGCTTACCGCCATCCTCTGTCCCGGATACTTTCGTCAGCATTTCTCGTTTGCTAGGCATTACTCTATCCCACCCCAGGCTCCAACCTTGTTTCTGACCGCTCTCCATCACTCTTTTTCAACCGCTTTCTGTCACTTCTTCATTCACTTTCCCTCATACCTGATGTACAGTGTAGTGGAATTCCCGATTTCGCGGCGCATACCTGCCCGAGCTTTTGTGAATACTATCTGAAATTCAGCCAAGCTTAAACAGCTCCACTGACAAAATCTGTTATCGCGCCTTACAAGTTTGCCCTTAGGCGATAACAAGCACGCCCCCGCCTCTGCAAGACAACGCACGCAGGAAGCGGACGCCTCTGTTGCCGAAGAACCAGAGGAAGGCAGGCGTCACGGGTGCGCAGAAGCCGAGCACGTGCAGTACCAAGAAGTCCCAGAGGAAGTGGCTGATCCAGTAGTCGAAGCTGAGCATGCTGCTCATGAACTGCAGCAGCTTCAGCCCGTTGCGGTACTCGGCGTACGGTATGGCGGCGAACAGGCCGCTCATGGGGGCGAGCACCGTCGACGCGGCCAGCACGCACGCCAGCACGGGCACGTCGTTGAAGATGTGTCCCAGCAGCTGCTGGGCGCTGGGCGTCCAGCGAGCGTTGGGCAGCGAGCCGGCCTGGGCGTTGATGCGGGAACCGCGCACCCGCGAAGCGTTGGCCAGCTGCGCGGCGTGCAGCAGCGTGAGAGCGGCGCCGCTCGTGGTCCATCGCTCACCCGACCACCACAGGGTCACCCAGTGGCCGCTTCCACCTGCACCGAGGTGGGTATAGTAACAATAATGTTGTGGTTTCTCGCCCAAAAACCACGATCTGATTATGAGGGACGTTTCAGTAGAAGGTACCAGGAATTTGGACCATCTGGTGCTCTTTATAGCATGTACCTAGCACCTCAATCTATAGGTACGTGAGCCTCGAGAATCTAACCTCTATAGGAATGCCGCTGCCGCCGCCAGCATTCCATCACGCGACCACAGTGGCGGGTACGCAAATACATGGTAGGGGGTGCGTAAATGTAATTATTCGTTGCTAATGTAACGATAGACGCCTCCGTGAGAACATGACTGTCAAGTGTGAGTAGTTCGAAGAGTTGAGAGAGTGATGGCGGATAGAGAAAGAAATAAAGAAAACAAAAAAGGGCACTTTGCGCTTGTGCAATGCTCTTATGGGAATGTAAAAATAAATGATAAAGGTGCGGGCAGGACATGTTCAACTTTTTGCGAAAATGCGAATGATAGTGATGAGAGCACACTTTTCACTTATCTCTTTTCTCCCGACTCGATTCAGCGCTCTTCACTACGCCATTCCGTACTACAACCAATTCACCCAGGCTACACAGAAAACGTGTTCCATCTGAGGATGGGATGCTTTTGCGGTCTCACCTGGACCAGGCATGCCAGCGTGGATCTCGATGCCCCATCCCTGTTTGCGCCACTGAGCCGCGCTCAGTGAGCGCAGGTAGTTCTCGGGCTCCTCCATCAGCGGAACCTGGTGGTCGACGCCACTGTCGTCCAGCAGCGACCTAATCACGACGCCCGCGAACTCGGGGCTCGGCCGCCAGTCGTGAACGAATGCCCGAGTCCCACGCTGGCGGCGTCGAGACGCACCACACCCGGACTGGCACCCAGCGGCGCCTCGCGGTCTGCGAGCGCCTCGTACAGCACGAAGAACAGCACTCCGTTGGCCACAAAGGCGCACACCAGCGGAAGCCGATGGGCCCATAAGAGCCGCAGTTTCTTCGCCGACAGGGCCACGAAGCGACGCCACATGGACACCCAGAAACGCGGGTGCTCGGAGCGCTCGAGGTGGAGACGCAGAGCTGTACGAAGTAGCGAGAAACACATTTAGTAGAAGAGACATTTGGCTGAGTTGGTTAGAATTCATCTCGAAAACGGTATTGCAACACTACGACGATTTGCCCCGCCGTGGTGGTCGAGTGGCTATGGTACTCGGCTGCTGACCCGTAGGTCGCGGGTTCAAATCCCGGCTGCGGTGGCTGCATTTCCGATGGAGGCGGAAATGTTGTATACAGGCCCGTGTGCTCAGATTTGGGTGCACGTTAAAGAACCCCAGGTGGTCGAAAATTCCGGAGCCCTCCACTACGGCCTCTATCATGATAACAACAGGGCACACGCCCATCAAATCTTTCTTCGTTCTTAAATGATGGGAGTGTGCGTGCGTGTGTGTGTGGGGGGTGGGAGGGGTACATTATATGGTTGAATGTATAGCTCTACGCACTTGTTCCACAACTATGTCCAATTTTCGTGAATAAATATGTTCTGACTTGTATGGCAAGCGAAAATGTACACATGACAGAGAGGAAATGTATAAACGTATTGCTTCTTGAACAAAAAGGCACAGCGTGAACGTGGTTTACAAGACGTGAGGGTGCTCATAGTTGCTTATTTCACTTCGGTAGTTGGTCTTCTCGCGCTAGGTATATAAGAGGCTTTAGACAAAAATGTCTTGACTCGTCAAAATATATTTTCGGAAAGAACAAAAAAAAAAACAAATGCGTTATTAGATCATCATGCGCACAGTACAGCCAATAACAACGCATCAAATTGGCCAGATGAATTCGCTTAAATGTTTACCTTCGAGCATGAGATCAGGATTGACAGTTGCAGTGTAGTCCGGTTGGTGAATGCGTCCCCAAATTCTGCAAAGCGAAAAAGACAACTTAGTTGGTAAGAGTTTCGAAATACAACTACGTCATTAAGTGAAACTAAAGGGCATGCGCGTGCGCAGAGGTAGAAGGAGGGGCAGAAGTAGCGGGATGACCCCTGGTCATTTGAGGGAGGTGCCAAGTCTATCCCGTACCCATACGCGCCTGTGACATGGTCACATTTTCTTGAAACTTCTATACTCAGTCGAAAATGTCCTCTCATTGCTTAGAGGGGCCCGGCGGCACTTTTAAGCACGCCCAGAAAATGCTTCCGATTGATAGTCTGGGCTTCTGAGAACAGGCGAGCCAAACTATTTAGCCTAACACGCGGCCCGGGATTTACCATTAGTTTTCAGTCAGCCAGAGATTGTTCCCGATTCTTTCTACGGGTGATCCCATGGATAGTATACCCAAATGACCTTGAACGTCCATAAGCCCAGTTGAACATCGTGAGTTGCATAGTTACTGTGGCCGCCGAGGGAGGCCGCCACGTGCCCGCGTGCGCAATCACACTGAAAGTAAGCCACTTGTTCTAAGACAAAAAAATAAAAAAAGTTAAAGGGCACTCAAGTAATGAAGCGCATGTGACGTAACTTCATTCCCCGATGCCATCTCTCCTATCTTAGGTTCCAGCTTGCTCGTCGGGATGAGAGAAGAGAGATATATAGCAGTGTGAAAGGTCATGGCTATGCATGATCTTGACGATAATGACAACCGAGGTTTCCCGATGCTGCACTCTTAACTGTTTGCTTTCCACCTTTAGCCCTGTAAAACAGAGAAACAAAGGCAGGCCGTTCCGAGAACAACGTCGACGTTTCATTTTAATTTTTTTTTTCATAAACTGCGAAGCTTTTACCTCGAACACAATCCGGGGAGAGATAAGAGCTGTAGTGAGACTTGGCTTCTCATAACGAACAACACTACACACGCCATGCTTAGTAATATTGGTACCGAGAGAAAGTATGCCAGCCTGAAATGGCACAGTAAAGAAGTATGTAAAGATTTTCCTAGTCAGCTATCCGTTAGTTCGTAAATTTCGTGAGGTGTTGCGTCACACCTCATGACGCCGTCTTCGATGGTGCGGTAGGGATCTCCGATGTGCGTGATACCGAGGTAGCGCTGCTCGTTGCGTATCGACCGGGCAAACTCCCGCGCCTGAGCCATGGTCACGCCGGGCATGTACAACATGATCTCCAGTCCGATCACGGACAGCACTCGCAGCTTGGGCATCCGCTCAACGAGGTGCTTGGTGATGGCCGCAGCCATGGCAAGCTCATGTCGGAGTAGGCAGAGACGGTAACCCAGCCCTGAACGCGTAGGAACAGCATAGGTGAATTCGATTGAACACCGCTTAAATGCCCGGCCTTCAATCACTGACGCTAAAGAGCGTTGTCGCTGAAAAACAGACTGCGATGACATTCGTATGCGGAAATATGTCTCCTGCTGGGTCAGGGTTATACCACAAAAGAAAACCATGTCTTCATAGATGAGGTTGCAGGTTTGCTAGATATTTTGAAAAATGTGTTGCTGCATAAATATGCACAGCGTCAGTTACAAAAGAAAAAAAAGGCAGCGTGCGACGCACTCTGTAGTATGAAATGCGAAGCTCCCTTACGTCTTCGAATCTGCGTGCGCGACGACCATTATCTTTATGGGCTTCCCTCGATCATCTCTGCCCGAAATTGCGCAAGCGGCGTTCCTTAACAGAGTTGTACAATATATGTGGTGTTAACGAAAGCTGAATAGAGGGGCTGGAAGTGTAAAACGGAAGTGAAGTATTAGACATCTCGCGCTAACGCTCCAGAATTGGCATGCTATTTTTCTAGACGACGTTTTCGTCACTTTACTCATGTCATTTCCGTCACGGAAATGACGTCGTAAGTATGCTCGGTGAAGCTCCTCCGAATGACACTTTCGTGTAAGCATAAAAGTTGCGCTCACTGAGGTGATTGTACAGATTGTCCACGTTGTCGTTGAGCTGTATGACGCCTCGTGCCAGCACCACTGCGCGGTCAGCCAACACGTCTACTTCAGCCGACTTGTTTGTCGTCATGATGATGGTTGAAGACCGACGCATGGCGAATAACAACTGCGTGAGTGATAACGTTTTTCTTGTATGATATACTTTCATGCTTTACATGCTATGAACAATTAAACTGCTTTAAATGTTTCTTCGCTGATGATAAGTTGCAAAAAAATGTCGCACTTGAGATACTGCTTTGTCGAGCTATTTTGAGTACGAATGGCGTTATCTAACTTGGGTGCACGTTAAAGAACCCCAGGTGGTCAAAATTTCTGGAGTCCTCCACTACGGCGTCTCTCATAATCATATGGTGGTTTCGGGACGTTAAACCCACAAATCCATCAATGGCGTTATCTCAATTTCCTGCTCTACACGTGTTGACAACTTTGGCGAAGGTACTGGTACGGCACAATTGAACATTCTTTCACACTGTTGCAGACACCCATAATAACTGTGCCTTTGATTTTCATGATGACCTCAGCGCGATCAGATGGCTGTTCATGTTCTTTAACAACTAAACATCGAACAATTTGTCGGCGGAATATTTTTTTTTTGCTTTCGTCATACATTCGATTATCAAAATGTTGGCACGTGTTTAACGCACGCAGTGACGCAGTAGTTATCCTATGGCACCGACGTGCAAAGCGAGAATACTGCAGTGATACGAATCCTGCAGTGTGCAAATAGATACCGTATTTACTCAAATGGAACGCGAGCTCTTTTTCTCTAGGTTTCCGCTACTTTATTGCGACCCTTTTTTTACAATCGAATACCGAAATAACCACTTTTTTCTTCCTGGACACAATGGACAGTCATCACTCACGTTACAGTCATGGTCGCGCTACAATCGAGTAAACATGGCACACAAACTTTGCATGGCGGGAGCGGCCATACAATCAATACCTTCAGCATGGTGTGTTGGTGTGTACTAGGTACTGCCAAACATATTTGCAGCATAGAGGCTAACGATAGTCAAAAATTTTTCTACATACAGGTCCCCTCATTGTAAATGCCTCGCACCGTAAAGCTCAACAGCCTCAGCGCCATGCTGGCGTATGCAAGTAGCGCGGCCGCCATCTTCGAAATACTTTTGGCTGCTTTCGAGCACCTAGTAGTCGGGAATGACCCATATCACGGCATAAGAAGAGAGCAAACAAGATATTGGCTGTCGATTAAACATGCAGTTTCCTTACCTTCCACATGCGAGAGAAAAGCTAAATATGACGGAGAAGCGAGGACTTCTCGTTCTTTCTGATATGCACCTACGCACTTGTATGAAAAAGCTGATGCACACATGTGTCTCGTCGTTAAAAAAACACACTTATTTAAGGATTTTAACGTATATGGTTGAAACTGGTTAAGTTTCCTTCAAAATATTTGCAGCGTGTCTGCTGCTATATAATCGTCATAACGAGAGTGTTTACCTGCAGCCATTGTCGAAAGCGTAGATAACCTCTAAAAAGCGAAGCTGCTAGGCGTAATGTAAGCACACTTCATTTCCTCAACTTTCTTTTCAATTATCTAACTTGCAAATATTCGACCTTTACATTGTTGTAGGGCTAACAGAAGCCATTGAAGAAAGAGGTGATTGGCCTCTGTAATGTCCATTTTCTACGATCTGTATATAGTAATAATATATAGAAGCAGCGAACGTAGCTGCTGGTGTTTCACGTCGCAAAGCCGCGATATGAACATGAGGAACGCCGTTGTGTAGGGCTCCGGAAATTTTCACCATCCAGTGTCCTTAAATGTGCACCGAAATGTAGGTACACGGGCCTTTAGTATCTAAACTCCATAAATATTGGCCTCCATTGACATGAAAGGCCACCGGATCCATTACTCCGCCGTGGCGGGTCTACAACCTACATGCTCTGCGACTCAAAACAAATACTTAGGTTTCTATGACGCGATAACCATGAATTATTCAGGTTCAGGCCAACGTTATCTAAACGCGGGATAGTCTAGTTTAATCCATATGCAGTCTATAACGAAATGTGAAACATTGTTTTCTGCTCTCCGCATTGCTATCGCTTGCGAGCTTGTAACGACGCAGAAATTGCGGACGTCAAACGTGCCTTCCACACGTCGGCCTGGCTGATGGCGTCCATGCCCGACGTTGGCTCGTCGAGCACCAGCACGTCGGCGGGTCGAGACAGCGCCACGGCCAGCGCCACCTTGCGTCTCACGCCGACGGCGAGAGTGCTGATCACGGAGTCCGCGTAGTCGGACAGTCGCATCTTTCTCAGGAGGAGCGCGATGTCCACTTCGCGCCGCGAAGCCGGAGAAGGACTCGACGCGTTCAGCTGGACAAAGTTTGTCAACCGCAGTGCGTTGTTAAGTGTGCGTTACAGTAAGTATGCATTTACAGAATTTAAGTCAACTCTAATTGTAAGTTGCCTAAAACATGTGGTTGAAACCAGAGTTATGTACCCGGACGTCTCTTGACGCTCGTGCATAACAGAAGCGTGTAAATAGTTGTGTGCGTGTAAATAGTTTATGACTGTGTGAACTGCGCTAAGAAAACTGTGTATTGGCATGATATTTGAACTGGTTTCAGTGTGCTATTATGTTTTTCTTTTCCGTATTGTTAATTTTTGGGTACCGTTCTGTATTATTATTTTATTTTTCGCTGCAGAACTTTGTAATATGGAGTAGCCGAGGCAATAGGCACCTCAACCTCTCCACAGCAAAACAGTTAAAACAGAACAGAACAGAAGCGTGAAATGAAAGTCACGTGACCAAATGATCAAGGAGAAGTGATAGCCCCGCCGTGGTGATCTAGTCACTACGGTTCTCGGCTGCTGGCCCGCAGGTTGTGGAATCGAATCCCGGCTACGGCGGCTGCATTTCCGATGGAGGCGAAAATGCTGTTGGCACGTGTGCTCAGATGTGGGTGACACCCCAGGTGGTCGGAATTTCCGGAGCCCTTCACTACGGTATCCCTCATAATCATAAGGTGATTTTGGGACGTTACGTCTCACATATCAATCAACCAATCACGATGAAGTGATAATTGCTGTGTAAGGGTTTACACTTTTTATCTCATTTACGTCTCAATTACTAAAGATATCTCTTACACCCCCAATTATTGTCTGACTGATCTCGAATTAAGAAAGAGAAAAAAATCCCCGGGCCTACAGCGTCAAGTATAGCACAAGTGCGTTAATTTATAGGATTCAATTAGTACGGCATGACTGGAATGACGCGCGAGAGTTCAATCTTAAGGCCTTCGCATTACATCTGGAGGAGCGCCCTCATCCTTCTCAGCAAGCAGCAAACAAAAACACCCATAAATACAGCTAAACTACGGCAGTGTCGCTGCGCTCCTCGCGATGAGCAGTGGCACTAACCGCGGAGAAACGATACATGTATACCGTTGCGTTCAACTCGATTGCGAAAGCCTAAGACGGAACGCTAGTGCACTTTTCCAGTGCGGCCGAGGTTTGAGACGTCTTCTGGTTAGAAGAAAATGAGCTACGTTGATTTTGGCTTACAAAAACAAATGTTTCGAACTGTTCAATACTTCATGGCGATAAAGTGTACCAGTCATAACGCTAAAGTCACTATATAATGGAACCAATAAAGATTTTGCGTGTGCCGCTTACGCTAATTTTTTCGTCTATCTCGTTTCCATGCCTCAAGAGTGTTTGCGAAGGCTTCACGTCGGGTCAGCAGCTGAGCACCGCAACCACTGCGCCATAACGACGGTTCTGTTGCCTCTTTACTGTGCTATACTGTGTGCCATTTCTTTCGTGAAAAACACGTCATTTTCGGAAGAATCTCAGTTTAGCTTACTAGCTTCGAGAGCTGAATGTGTTCCTGAACCGTCATGAACTCGAACAGTGTGCTGTTCTCGGCGCAGTAGCTGATAAAAGAGCGCGTCTCGGAAAGCGCGCATTGAACGTTCAGGTCGTTGACGTAGATGTTGCCCTCATCCGGGCGCAAGATTCCTGCGAAAATAAACGACGTTAAGCTATCTTCACGTAAAAAATACTATTTATGAAGCTCCTGTAAAGCGTGCTTTGTTGCAGCAAGACTCGTTATGCGGCAGAGCCAAGTACTTTGACGCTCAAGTCAATGTAGGTTTGTCAGCATGCAAAATTCCGCGAGCGCAATGTTTTATTCGAAAGTACGTCAGTGTTAATTAAATTTGACTTGGTTCTTGGAAACAGCGTTACCCCGCGTCGCCATATTGTCCAATTCAACTAGTCTGGCGTGACCAGTAGAAACTCCTAATATTATTCCTTGCACACGTACTTCACGTACATGCGCAGAGCTTTTCCCGCACGATAATCTATCATATTCTAGCACAGCAGCTGCATTGTTCTGCTTTATGCTACGCTTTACCCGGAGCAGCTCAGCGCTTTACAAAACAACGCAGTGCTGGGTCCTGATATAGGGCCCTTTCGAATGCCTAGGCATGACGTTCCACACTACGCCTTACTTTAACAGGGTACCGAAACATACAGCACATACTTCATAACATACTGTGTCACAACATAGAATATTAGAAAGTTAAAAGTCATTGCTCAACTGGTTGGTTAGTAATATTAAATACTGTGTATGAATAATAATCTTAAATACTGTGTATCACGCATTCAACACAGGACCGAGAAAAAACAGTGATGCGCAGTACAAGCGCTGCCCGCAACTAATCTTTATTATGATGTGCTGCACAGCAAAGAAAAATAGTTGTTAGAAAGATTGTTATAATTTGCATATGTCTCAACGTAATGTTTGCTGCGAGCTCCGCCGCAGCAGTCTAGTGGCTAAGGTACTCGGCTGCTGACCCGCAGGTCGCGGGTTTGAATCCCGGCTGTAGCGGCTGCATTTCCGATGGAGGCGGAAATGTTGTAGGCCCGTGTGCTCAGATTTGGGTGCACGTTAAAGAACCCCAGGTGGTCGACATTTCCGGAGTCCTTCACTACGGCGTCTATCATAATCATATGGTGGTTTTGGGACATTAAACCCCTCAAATCAATCAATGTTTTCTGCGAAAGCATAAGGGACAGTGAGCGCGCACGTGGCTTTTCACGATAACGATAGATTTCGAGTAGCACCTGTCGGGTTGATCAGTGTTTTCTTTGTCCTGTGTTGAATCTGTGCTATCTACTATTTAACGATATCAGTGAGAATGACGAAGCCCCACAGAAATGGCGTGCGTATTGCCATCCAAAGGGGCAATACGGCAAGTCAGCTTAGGGCTATAGCATAATGACAATGGACAGCTTTGCATTTCATGCCGCATCGTATTGTCTATGCCGAAGTACGCCAAAGTACACAATAACAACATGCTCTGATTATCAATTTAAAACGTGCCACGAACTGCACCTGACTCACATGGCTTGGAAATCGCAACCGGCCGCACTCAACATGCATAAAGAAGTGCAAAAAAAAATCAAATATTTATTGGTGGCTGTATTACGTAAACAATTCGTCTCTTCGTTGCACGTCCAAGTGGGGCGACGTACCGCAAATCATCTTGACGAGCGTGCTCTTGCCGGAACCACTATGGCCAAAGATAACCGTGATGCGATTGCGGATGAAGTCGACTGACAAGTGTTCCATCTGAATATCGCCCATGCGTTTCGCGACGTCCACCATGCTCACTGCTGGCTCGCCTGCTGGATTGCAGCAGTGCTTCTCTGGCACCTGCGAGAATCGTGGTTGGACTGCATTCTCAGCTCGCGTAAACTCATATCAAGGCGCATCTTCGATGTTGTTTTTTTTTTACATTAGCTGTTAATGTTAGACATCACGTCAGATAAAAAAAAAGAAATGTAGCGTGGAAGGATGACACGAGTATCAGTGACGGTATATCATTCTTTCGCCACATATCGTGTTCTCTTCATTTCATGACTAATGATTTCGTCAAGTCACGTTGCTGGAATGATTGCTTATCTCATTTCGTCTCACTCATCTTCAAAAGCGTAATTTTTCTTCGATGACCATGGAAGCTTCCAGATCGATTGAAACGGCATCCTACACCTAATAAATCATGTACCGATGTCATGCATTACTGCCCATCAGTTTCGATTAAACCGGCACTCGAGCTAATGGAAGAATCGTCACCTGGCGCTGGTTGCCCGCGTCCAGCGAGTCCCAGAACTCGTCCTGGAAAACGAACTGGAGGTTCTTGCGGCGCATTCTTTCAGGCCAGGGCCATACGTAATCGAGGTACCACACCAGCGTCGCCAGCAGGACCAGCGACAACGGCGATGACACCATCACTGGCCAGCCGCCCATATCGCTGAGATTCGCCCAATAGATGCCCACACCTGCGGGAGAACGTATTTCGAAAGTGGGCGTGCATCCCGACTAACCAATCTGACGTAAGCTTCGGAACGTCTATGAACTTCTTGCGACTGAATTGTCCGAAAATGGGCGCTTCTCATTTTGCTTTTGCGCAGTGCTATCAACGCTTGTCCAGGGTGGTCACGCGGCCAAATCGGCCGTCAGTGCTCGGAAGAAAAAATCAAGAATGACGCCGCGACATGTGTAACTGTGATGATGTCGCATACTTTTCATTTTTAATTTTCATTTTATTCACCCTAAAGGCCCGAAGGCATTACGTCAGGAGTGGGGGCGAGATATCTTTTTACAATCAACGCAATACAGATGATTATATACAGAGGAAAAAAAGAGATTAACCTACAACCTAACTCGCACAAGGAATATATATAACGAATCCTAGACCACCATATAATAAAAAAATTAAAAGTACAGAGAAACACAATAATCAAATCAGCATAGCTGACACACATGCCAGCCATAGAACCACCGATAAGTGAACGTGGAAAACGAAAGTATTTGTGAACAAGACCTTCAGTCTCCTGGTTGTCAGTGTACCTGCCCAGTGACAATGCAGAAAACAGAGTAAAAATGCCGTCGAAAGTAATGTGTTCCTCCCGCAAACAAGCAGCGTAGTCGCCCTGCACGTTGTTTATTAAAACCAATTCAACACACAGCGTACCATTTCTTTCGCTGTTCCACATAGCCCGCACAGCGGTCGTAATCCAGAAGTTGGGCATGAAGAGGCACAATGTGAAAACGTAGAGGTCGCTGAACTCCGCCTCGAAGTCCAGGGCAACAATGGCTCCCACGAGCCACCAGAGTGTAAACGCGTGGGCGCAAACCCACCCTGCGAACCGGGGTTATGGTCATGCTTCACGCAGAACACTACGAGACCCGCTATGCATGGTCAAGTGGTTGTTATGGTGATCGACCACTGACCCGAAAGTCACGAGATCGATTCCTGGTCACGATGACCGATTTTCGATGGAAGCGAAATAATAGACGCCCGTGCACATTGATTTAAACGTTTTTTTTACATTCCGTTTTTGATTAGACCACTACAGGAGCAAATCAGTGGCACCACAATTCAATCGAGACACCCCTTATTAACGGACCTACGAGTTATAAGCAGGTACTCTCCTCCTACTATCCACTTTTCATCCTCAACTCTTCCTTCGAGCACTCGGTGCTAACCACCACCTTCACGGGGCTTGTGCCGCGCGTGCCACAGCCAATCACAACAGCAGCCATGGTGACGTCAAGTGAGCAGAGCATGTCGCTCTGTGATTGGGTGGTTGAAAACGTGTTTGGCCGAGTAGCAGCTATCTGCAATGATTCCAAGCATTAAGTCGTTGTAATAAATTACCCAGCTTACGCAAAGAGCTCAAATTGGTTTTTTATGTGACCATTGGGCCCAATGTGTTCGTACAAAATTGTCAAAACCGTTTTAAGGTCTCTCTAAAGAACACCAAGCGGTCAAAGTTTTCGGACCCCACCACCTCGGTGTCTCTCATAATCATATTGCGGGTTTGCGACGTGAAATCCCAATAATTGTACAACTAAAATATCACAGACGTTTCATCGGTTTTTGTCTGCACACGATAGTGTTTTTTTTTTCACGAATTCGTTGGACTATCCTCATTATTGAAAAAAAAAGCATGTGAAATAATAACAAATTCTGGAATCTTATGCGTGAAAACCTCAATATGATTATAAGACACGTCGTAGTGGAAGACTTCGGAAAAGAAGTTCAAACAAGTGGTGTTCTTTGACGCACAGTGGCATCAAACAGTACTCGGGTCTCTATAGTAACCACTATACTACCGCACCGGCAACATGAAACTCCTTAACTTTAACCACGGTGGTACATTGATTAGCGTTATGATCTCTTTTTATGCATCGCGTAATTAATCAATTACGAAGAAAATGGATCACGATAGCCTTATAGAAGCAGAACTTTTCCTCTCATTTCATTTCACAAAATGTTCTCGAATGGGGTGAAAGGATATATAGTCTGTCCTCCCGACTCTACCCACTTCTGATTACCCGCCTTTTGGGGGGAACTTTTCTTTTACGTGGTCTACAGATTTCTTGCGAACATTACGGTCAAGCGTCAAGAAAAACAAGATAATAAAGAATGAATATTTACTGCGGTTAGAGAATACGTTTATTTTTTGTGCAATAAGAACCCTGATATTTTAAAGAGAGCGTCTGTAGCGCTTCTGTCAACGCGATTCGCGGACCTCAAAGCCAGAACGAGTGAGTAACTATAAAACGTTGAAACTCATTTCCGGCCGCAAATGTCCACGCATCATGGGGAGAGTTAATGATTTGCGTACTATTCATAAAGAGCGTGCCGAAAAGCACGCAAGAGGCGGACAGCCTCGCGACGTAGGGTAGAAAGATGTTGGCGAGAAGCACGGACGGTTCAGAGTAGGTCAGCGCTGTGAACAGCCACTCTGGTTGGGGCCACGTGAGCACGGACACGGCGACCAGGCACGGAAGCGAGGCGAACACGAAGCAAGCCAGGCCCTTGCCCCACAGGAATGCGCCGTTGCGGATGCCCTGGATCAGCATCCACTCCTGCGGCGATACGACAACGCGTCGGATGGCTTATTAGGGAGTTTTAGAATATAGGAGCTGCAAAAATTGGTGGCCCCCAAAGGCACTTGCGTACGCACGATTTGGGTCAAGCAGGAGCGAAGACTGCTCGAATAACGTGTGCAGTGCTTTGGACACTTCCCCTATTCTAAGGTCACTCTAGCCTTGGCCGGGAGCCATCATTTCAGTGGGTACTAGCAGAGTCCTTCGATGAACGGTATTAAAAAACTCTGGTACTAGTAACGCTTGGCTCACGCAAAGCTTTAGGGGCAGGCTTTGAGGCTCCCAATAAAATAGAGAAATTATATATCCAACGCAAAATATGGGCCCCGTACATGCGCAGTTGCCTCTACGCTATTTTTTCGGGGCCCCAAAACGATTGGGGCCACTATACAGAAACTCCCTATTGAAGCGCACATTTCATGGTAATGTGGGGCTATACAAGCGACGTTATGCATACCCCCCGTTTGCAGCAATATATACCACAAAAAGTCCATACGGATTTCTGGTAGAGCATCAACGCCGGCGAGGACATTAGTACCAGGGTTTGATCTCCTGGCCACCAGGTACAAATTTTTGTCAACAATGGACATTCATTTCCGAGAAATTTGCTATGTATTTTTTAAAATCTTCGTACTGCTTATGTTTCATTGTCAGTTTCGCTTTCTTAATCCTTCCGCCAACTTTTCCGTAGAACCCATTAGTATAATATCCTCATAGAATTACGAAGTGCTTGTTGAAACCGATGGCTAGGCGCCTTACATTCATCAGAAGTCGAAATTCAGTTGTGTCCGTTGCGGTTGCGCTCGAATCTACAAAAAATGGCCTCGTATCTGCATGTTAATCCGCAAATGTCGTCGATATTGCGTGTGGAGAGAGTGAACACAACAGCTATTTGATGTTCTGCGCAAGAAAATAGGTGAATGGAATTCTGGAGGCGCTGCGTTAGAGTGCCTCGAGCATGCAGCGGAGACGAACGAGCGCACCAAGTCACGTCACACGTCTTACATGAGCGCCATCTGGCACTTTTTTGGAAAACGAAGCGCGTGGCTCTTAGACGGGTGTGCGCACCCGTCTCAGAGGGGATAAGGTGTAGAACGCAAGGCGACGGGTAGGTGCCACCACAATCTTGTCTTAGCAAAGCGTTGTAAACACTCGCCTTTTGGTGAAAGCATTGTGTGGTCAGCGCAGCGTGATAAGCGCTACGGTCCTTAAAATTTCTTATGTATGCATTTTTAGTAAAAGACGCACATGCAGAATTTATACGTGTTAATATGGTGCCCCAGACATGCGCAATAATTGCTTTTCATTTGACAATATGCACAAGTATGAACGTTAAACCTTGAGCAACATTGGTGGGCGCTGCGGATGGGGTCGGCCGTTTCAAATACCCTGGTGCTGTTAGGAGTGTACAAGCAGACAAATAGCTAGACAGACAGACCAAACATTTTGCGTCGATGGTCACCAAAAAGACTCTCAGTCTTTAAAATGTAGTCGCGAGTTTTCTTACTTTTTTTTTCTTTTCGAATAGCGCCTCTGGGAGCGCGCGAACTTGCTAGCAAATAAACAGGTTCTAGACTGTTTCCCGCCGCCTTAACTGCTCACATGACCTGATGCGGATGCTGACGTCACTAGCAACGCTGGGCACCGGCGTATCTAGGGAGGATGGGGGTTGACAGAAGGTATTAATTGTGCACGCATGTGCAAAGTTTGCGTACATACACGCACGCATGCATATAAAAGCGCGAACACGTATAAAGATTACTCCCCAACCCACACCTCTCCACCGAGAAGTCTTCTGGCCATTTCCCTGACGCTATAGGTGTACCGTGAACGGCTCGTAACAAAACACGGCATTGTTTTTTGATAATTGTGGCGCTCTAGACTCGTGGTGCTGCCGCTCTTAGCATTGTTGATCGTGATATCATTTTGAACTCAATGAACGTACTTATCGAAATGTTAAGAGAGCGAGACAGCGATGAAGCAGCAGGCGTAACTCTTTACTGTTGCCCATTGCAGATCTGCATGCATATTTCTCAAGACGTCACTACGACTGTGCTGACAGGGACTTCGACGGACACGTGAGACAGGTGGAACAGCAAGACAGCGCACGACAATACAAGAGAAAGCAGCAGCGCACAGGCTTGGTATATCGGGTCCCGACTGCGCAGACTGCAAGACAGAGCACGTGAACACTGCTTGGCTGTAAAGCTACCGCTGTTTCACGGACGCACCAATTTGGCAGTGGTGACAGCGACGAAGCGGCGGGTGTAACTCCGTTCGGTTGGCCATTGCAGGTTAGAAATTTTTTTTCAATACTTCTAAAAGTCTAATTCGCACGTTATTGCCATCACCACAAGGTGTGAAACTGTCTGTTTCTGTTGCTGTCACCATAAAAAACAACGGATGTTTCCAAGCAGTTTGAACAGTCCGAAGACGAAATGCGGAATGAATTTAACAATCTGAAAGAATCTCTTGAAAGAGGCGTTCGCGCTGATGAGAGAAAGCTTCGGGCCGAGGTCGATGACATGAGGCGAAGCATCAGTAAAAATCTTGACGACGCTAATTTGAGGTTTGATGCTACTTTGACGGAGAACATTTTTCTAAAGAAAGAAAATGAAGCACTCCCGCAAGAAGTCCGATCGTTAGAGAAGGAAGTGATTGATTGTCAGACTAGTCTGGTGAAAACCGAGCAGTACTTGCGCAACAAAAAAACTCGAGATCAAAGGTATTGCGGAAACCCTGATTGGGACCCTACCGCGGTGGTCTAGTGGCTAAGGTGCTAGGCTGCTGACCCGCAGGTCGCGGGTTCGAATCCTGGCTGCGGCGGTTGTATTTCCGATGGAGGCGGAAGTGTTGTAGGCCCGTGTGCTCTGATTTGGGTGCTCGTTAAAGAACCCCAGGTGGTAGAAATTTCCGGAGCCCTTCACTACGGCTCCTCTCATAATCATTTGGTGGTTTTGGGACGTTAAACCCCACATATCAATCAATCAATCAATCAATCAATCAATCAACCCTGATTGGGTCTCTGACAGATGTTCTTGCTAAAATTGGAGCGGCCATCAGTGAACCTGTCACAGCGAGCAATATAGACGTAATTCACACAGTGGCAACAAAGGACAAAACAAAAAAAAAAAGAACGTTGTTGTACAATTTGTGAAGCGCGAAAAGAGGGATGAGGTTCTTGAGGAAGCTAAGAAAACAAAACTTACAAACAAAAGCCTCAGTTTGTCACTGGAAACGTCAAGAAGCGAGGCGAATCACTCTATCTTTGTAAATGAACACCTCTGTCAGTACCTAAAGCGACTGTTTGGTACGGCAGTAGCGCGTCGGCGCCAACGTGGCTGGAAGTATGTCTGGAAGAAAAAAAGCGCCACATTTGCTCGACGAGATGAGTCGTCATCCGTCGTTGCTATATAAACGCAATAGTAACTTGGACGAGATTGCCGAGGCAGGATAAGGATGCACGCGCGGAGAGCGATTACTTCAACTGTACAGATTACTTAATCATGACTGCCAACTGTGTGCTACCTGAGGATATGCGTGCTTTGATATCTGACAATCCAAGAAAACCGTTGAAGATATTTCATTTAAGTGTCAGATCTATGCAATATAAATTTAACAAAATCTACACCCTCCTTGAATCCTGCAATATTGGCTTCGATGCGCTTTTGTTCACCAAAACTTGGTACAATGAAAATTCGGATCACTTTGTTTTACCATCTTAAATCACTTCTTTCTAAACAGATAAAAAATATCCGGCGGTGGGGATGAGAATTTCCATTCAAGCCCCTGTACCAGGTTTTGAAATTGTACATGATTTCAGCATTGCCACCAGTGATATCGAAGTGATTTGTATTTAGAAAAAATTCGCAGATCCCACGAACTGTGGGAATTGATGATATGCGAAGCACAAATGAGGAATTTTGATCTGCCACGTTAAAATCAGCACAACGTTACGAAGAGGACGTAAATTATGCCGTACGTCACTTTCATGCCATGGTTATCATGTTTGGATGTGTCGTTTATCTTCGTCGTCTATTCACGTCACGTGATACAAAATATAGTATCACGTGACGTGATATGCGGAGCTAGCGAAACGGCCGCGAGTACACAATTAGCGTAGCATGTAGTCATGTTTAACATCACACGCATGTCACGATTATCATGTTTGGACGTGTTGTTTACCTTGGTCGTCTATTCACGTCATGCGATACCAAACGTGGGATATGTGGAGCTAGCGAAACGACTACGTACGCGCTATGGGCGTAGCATTTAGTCATGTTTTACGTGACACACATATCAAGAGTATCATGTTTGGGCGTGTCATTCACCTTCATCGTCCATTCACGTCACGTAATACCCTATTTCGTATCTGTAGAGCTAGCGAAAGGGCCGCGAGCATGCTATATGAGCGTAGCATATAGTAATGTTCTGCATGACACGCATATCATGTTTATTATGTTTGGACGTGTCATATACCTCCGTCGTCCATTCACGCCAACCTGATATTAAGTTTGGTATATATGGAGCTAGAGAAAATGGCCGCGAGCACGCTATGAGCGTAGCAGGTACTCATGTTTTACATGACATGCATGTCAGGATAATCATGTTTGGACGTGTCATTTACCGTCATCATCAGCCGCCGTGGTAGCTCAGTGGTAGAGCATCGAACACGTTATTCGAAGGTCGCAGGTTCGGTTCCTGCTCACGGTAAGTTATCTTTTCATCCAGTTTTTTTTCTTCATATTTACATTACAATAGGGTCTAATAACTTCCCCTATACAATCCTTGGCATTATTGTCTGTTAGATCTAATTAATATTGCGTCAGAATACGAAAAACGAGCCATAAGTATACACTTCTTTCCCTTATATATATATATATATATATATATATATATATCTTAAAACCAGCAGAACCTACTGCATTTTAGCAGACTGTTTTTCGCATATGTCTATTTTCAAAAATTTCGCTGGTTCTATCACTTAGCCAGAAGCGTATGAACAGTTGTTTACACAGAAGCGGCTATCTCGTCACTCTGAGAGCGTTCAAAAAATAACATTGGTCGCGAAGAACGCACAGGCAATATCGAATCACCGGACTTTCAGATGTCTTAGCGACTCGCCCAAACGCCTACCAATTTATACAAAACACATCTCAGCCTTGTGCAAGTGCTCTTATCATGTCTTTCAAACATGATTACGATGCATTCCAATAAAAAAAAATTGAGTATTTGGGGAGCGTTTCGTTAGCGTTTCCTTTCTTAAAAACACTGCGCTGGTCACTTTCCTCTCAAAAATGCTTGGTCGCGCTGATATCGCGCGACCGTTCGTGACCGTGACCTACTGGAACCGTGAAACCATGGTTGACAACGCGAGGATACTCGAGTAGCTGGAACACTCCCCAAATACTCAATTTTCTTTAGTGCTGTCATTGAATATTCGATCTTCCCTGACACTTCTGCCTTAATTTGATGTATGATACACAGAATTAAGTTAGGTTATGTTGGTACATGTTAGGTTAGGTGCCCGCCCACGCACCCTTTTATCATTGATTTTCTCCTCGATGAAGCGATACAGATAGTTGAGACAAAGCGGCAGGAAGCCGATCTCGAAGAACAACATGGCGAACCAAGGGTAGAGCGGCTGACATGCGCCCACGTCCGTCTCCATCGCCGGCAGTGGGAAACGCTTCATGCGCACCTGGTGGAAAGAGCAGAAACGGATAGCTTCGCACACCACAGGTGGTTCACGTAACAGTGCAGTTGGTTATATTGCGGCAAAGTACTGCTGCTCTTTCGTGTGCCGTTGTTCCCTATACCATGACTGTTTTCTCGGTCTGAACATTCTGCCGCGTTATTTATTTTTTTTTTAAATTTAGCACTGCCTTGTCACTATATTTCTGTAATTTATGCTTTGTTTGCATGCTCGACATATGTGCGTTTTCATTTTGTTGTCATTTCCTTATGGGCGACGTACGCTCCATTTTTCAAATGCTACCATGAACTGAATTTTTTTATTTCTTATTCTGGCTATTTGTATTGCTTTCTCGTTTGGGTTTATTTCTAACTGTTCTGTAAGCAGGTAATTACTGTTTGAATTTTCTAGCTCACAAGTCTCAGTTTTATGTTATTATTCAACGCCCTCTTTACGCAATGCTCTCCTTGTGTTGTTTAAGGGACTTTCGAACAAATTTTCTAAATAAATAAATAAAAAAACGTGATATTGTTCATGTGGGAGGTGGATTGGTGGATGTTCTGCAAACCAACTTCCCACAGCTACTGCTGCTGATGGTGATTATAATGAAGCTGTTATATGAAAGAGTTAAAAGATGTAGTCTGCTTGGCTACATTTTTCGCGATTGAAAATGTTACATGCCTTTATCACGGGTGGCTTCGGCACTATTTTCCTCGTTTCCGCGTACAGGTCCAAGTGGGCTCGATTAAGTCGACATTGAACAGGCCACAGAGTCCCTGTAACAAAGTTGTCATATCTTCGCGAACCTCATGCGAAAACCCAGCTGGAAGAAAAACCGATTGTATGTGAGCGGCTTTAGCTCGCCGACAATTTTCGTCCGCTTCATATCTCGCAGAACATTTTTATTGTACTGAACAAAGGCGCCGCGATACGCATATCTACACACCATTCAAGCATGCAAGTGTCTAAATATGTGTAAACTACAAATAGGGGCAAAATACATTGGGCGTTACGCAGCATTGATTTTCTGCCATTGAAGTGCCAACTGTGGCGCAGTACACCAGCTGAAGTGCCAACTGTTGGCGCAGTACACCAGCTCAGAGGTGGACTTGCAACGTTTCGGGTTGCATGTTGATAACGCGCGTTCGCGGTTATGTTGACAAATAAAAAAAAAGATCTGATGTAATCTTAATCGCTTCACCATGCTCAAACAATGCGTAAAGGTTTTTTTATGATTACCCCCTTTTGAATGGCTTTGGCTAGGAATAATTGTGGTATGGATGCTCTCCCATCTCCAACAAACATGCCCGATATTTTCTGCCCTATTTCCCCACACGTTGTCTAAATGACGATCAAAGAATAAAAAAAGAGAGGTCTTCCTGGAAATCTGCATTCTCGCGCAACACTACGTTTGTGTAGCGCATATTTTTTTCTACCTTCTTTCTTTATCATATATACCTGTATATACTCATCTATCATGTTGTCTGCTTCACTTCCACCCCGTAGACACATTCTGCACGACTGCAATCTACATTGCAACACGACCTTCCATTTCGCCAACGTGCGGCTCTCCGCCAGGGTGCCTTTAGTGAGACCTGTAGGGCAGTGACAGAATGGTTGACGCGTACTCTCAAGCATTTCCTCCAAGTTCTCGTCGATGGCTCGTGGTCCGGGGCACCGGTAGCTGAATCGCTGGGGAGGGAGAGACTCTTCGAGCAGCAGCGTGTAGTTGAGGTCCCCAGGAGCGTTCAGTGCCTTAGAGTCACCGCCAGCCCTTTCCATGCCGTCGAACAGCACTGCTACGGCTGCGCCAAGTGTGCCGGACCTCGCTTCTTTGAGAACGTGATTCTCGTCGTCGAATCCCACCAGCTCTGTGCGCATGCAAAGAAGAAGCACGCCGTGCTCATTGTTCTTGAGAGTGATCATATGGGCGGTCATGTGTGCGCGTATATTTTTAGTGTTACATGACCGATAATAGGCTGTTCTTTGCAATTTAGTTCCGCGGAAACCCGCAAGGTGGTGGAAGTGGCGGAACCCTTTCGCCACCTTGCGGTTTTCCGCAGAACTCTGCCGCAATACTTGTGTCCCCGTGCTTCGAGTTGTCTATTCTTATTCGAGTTTGCCCTCGTGCTGTCAACTGCTAGCTACTTGGTTAGCTCAGTTGGTAGAGCAACCTCCCCACAAAGGTGTTAATCTCGGGTTCGAACTCCGGATGAGGACGAATTTTTCGGCAAATAAGAGGATTTTCTTTCCGAGGAATCCGTATGAATTTTTTGGTGGCTTCGTGCGACGAACGGGCCCCGCCGCGGTGGTCTAGTGGCCAAGGTACTCGGCTGCTGACCCGCAGGTCGCGGGATCGAATCCCGGCTGCGGTGGCTGCATTTCCGATGGAGGCGGAAATGTTGTAGGCCCGTGTGCTCAGATTTGGGTGCACGTTAAAGAACCCCAGGTGGTCGAAATTTCCGGAGCCCTCCACTACGGCGTCTCTCATAATCATATGTTGGTTTTGGGACGTTAAACCCCACAAATCAATCGTGCTACGAACGGGTGGTAGTCTTCTTTCTCTTTCTTAATACGCTGCTAAATCAGTATGACTTGTGAACTTTCTGTCCTTCATTCATTCGTTTGTTGCGGAACGCCGGCCTTCAATAAGTAGCACCGCCAGAACGACTGCCAACCAATGCCTTCAAAGGGGCCCTGCAACACTTTTTGATGGTCAGAAAACGCTGCCGTTCGGTAGTGGAGGCTCCCGACAACACGCGAGTCTAATATTGTAGTGCAGCACGTCGCCTGGAATTCACAATAAGTTATCAAAGTTAGTTAAAAATTGCTTTCTCTTCTCTCGGGAAATGACGGAAGACGCTCAAAAATCACTTGTATAAATTCATTGCAACAGGATGGAAAGGGGGGTAGTTGGTCACTTCATAATTGTTCAGCAAACTGGGAGAGGGGGAGGAACACAGCACGAGCGCTGTGTGTTGTGTGCCTCGTCTTTGCTTCGTGTGTGTGTGTTCTTCCCGCGCACCCAGTTCGCTGAATTTGTAGAAAGCCCATCTATCAGCCATTGGAGGATAAATATGGCGTGTTCGGTCGTTACAGAGATCACCGCGGGAGGCCGCGACTTGTCCACGCGTGCACGCTCGATGACACGGAAAAAGCCGCGCATTCGAAGAAAGAACAAAAAAAGGTGCTCAAGGTCACGAGGCGCGCGTGACGTCTTTCTTTGCCCCTGCCATCCCTCCCTGCATAACTTCCAGTGCTTTCGTCAGGACGAGAGAACGCAATTGCAGCATGGGACGACAAATCTTTGTAACTACGCTCGTAATGGACGGATTCTTAAAATTTTCGGGCGTTCGATTCATAAGAAAATAAGGTCTTCCAGTGAATTCATTCCATGGTTACTTGAAAAAAAAATGTTTCAGGGCCCCTTTGGCAGCAATGAAACACAAAACAGGACATGACAGTGAAAGTGTTGCACGCACTTGGCGCTAGCTGCGTAGACAGTCGCGCATTCCACATGGTGAATTCTTCTTCGTCGTCTACTCATCTCCGACATGGTTCATTCATTCATTCGCGCGTACGCTTGTTTGTACGACACTGATTACGTTTGCAAGTGCAAGCAGAATGGAGTGTGGAGCAGGGACGTAGGCAAAAATTGTTTTCGAGATTTGAAGTTTGAAGTTTGTTAATAGAAAAGTAGCGATACAAAAAAAAAAGGCGTTTTGCATACTAAGTCCTCCCACAGTCTTCGGACTGTGGGAGGACCCGCGGTAAAAAAAGCATAAAAAATACAGTGGCAAATGGCAAGACAATGTAGTATTAACAAAACAATGCTATAAAACAACTGTAGAAAATAACGAAGCGATAAAACAGTGATAAATACAACCAGAATACAATACAAGTGCTAGATCAGAAACCTATAAGTTAGGGGGTAGAAGATATAATTACAAAGCTTTTTTTTAATGTATACAGCTAGGTTACCTAAAGACTTTATATTTGGTGGAATACAGTCTCATAGTGAAATGGTTGTGAATGACAATGACTTTATGCCATAATTAGTGCAAACTCGGGGTAGTAGTAAATTCTGTACTAATGCAAAGTGAGTGCAGTTGGTGTTTATTAGTAACTCACAGTTGCTGAGGTCAAAGGGTAGCCAACGGTTAATTATATTGAAAACAAACTAGTACAATGAAATTCAAATAACTTGCTAATACTCAGAATATTATGTTGTCTAAGTAATGAAATGGCGTTCGAACGACGAGGGCTAAAAGTGATAATGCGGATGGCTTGGTTCTGTATGTGTTGTACAGTTGAGATGTACGAGTGATAGTGTTCGCCCAGGTAGTTATGCCATAATTAAAATGACCATGGATAAATTAGCTGTAGAGTGATAATAATGCATTCGGGGAGAAGTATGGCCCAGCTTTAATTATGGTATTCGTGAATACCAAAAGCAGTCTAACAAGTGCAGACCAAAATTAAGTGTTATGTCTAAACGTACACCGAAAAAGGAAACAGTATCACTAGCATAGATAGTATTAGGACCCGTAGTTATAGCAGCAGGAGTTAACAAATGTTTTTGAGAAGATCGGCAAACCATGAACTCGGGTGTTAGGTCATTATTGTTACACCATAAAACTACGTCGCTTAGTACAGAGTTTAGTTTCGATATTAAAAATGAAACTGAATTGGCCTTGCATGATACTGCGGCGTCGTCAGCGTACAAAACGCAATGTACAGACGATATAACATCAAGTAGATAATTAATATAAATAATAAATAGGAGGGCACCAAGAGTGGACCCCTGCGGAATACTCGCATTAGTAAACTTAGTGTATAGAGTAAGAGCCACCTGTAAAGACCACATTTTTTCTCTTAAACAGGTAACGTTTCAGTAAGTTTAAAAGTGGTCCAGCGACACCATAAGATTCTAACCTATTGAAAAGAATGGAATGATTGAGCGTGTCAAAGGCTTTATATATATAAAAAAGACTGAACCTGAGAAGTAACCGCTATCGATGGAATGTTTGACGAATCCTGTTCACGTTTTTTGTTTCTTTCAGAAATGGCTCCAATCCGTGCGCTCGTGGCTTTTTTGAGAGTTCCTTGGCTGTTTTCCCCAGAGTATGTGGCCCAGCTCAACGTCGTCTCAGACCTTACGGGACTCTCATTTGTGTTCGTTTCGCCACATCACGTCGTGGCAAATATTCTGAACCAGGATACCCTGGTCGCGTTTGCGGAACTACTTCCTTCTGCGGAGACTCAAGAAGTGGTCCAGTCTCTGGGCGAACCCATCGAGGCCGTTTTCATCACCCTGGAGTCAGCTGACGTCACCGCTTTCGTGGGTCGTGCTGCTGTGCCACTCGCCTTAAATTGGATCGGCGCGCTGTGTGCTCCACAACACGCGCACTCGGTTCGCCGCCTTTTGACGTGGCTAATTTCTACGCTAGCGCAGCAAGCAGCTGCAGATGACTGCCCGGCCAGGATGCGGCCTGAAAGGGGGGGGGGGGAGGGGGGAGCGGGGCAGGACGGTTGTAGGCACGTTTGGTTGTGCCATTTCGCACTCTGTATGACATTTATTTATTTATTTATTTATTTATTTATTACAATACCCTCAGGGCCCGTAGGGCATTACAGAGGGGGCGGGTACAACATTTTATAACACACAAGAAAAAAAGACAAAGAAAAGAAACAAGTGTCAGATGCGCAAATCACGAAGGCAACATAAATCAACTAAAAATGTATAAGTAAGAATTCAAGCACATACAAGACAAAGATAGATAATGGAAACTGCGTATAGTTACAAACATTGCTGAGAAATTGCAGTCTTGAATAACAAAGGGTCTGTTATTGTTACAACGGAAGAGGGAAGGTGGTTCCAATCGGCGGCTGTTTTCGGTAAGAAGGTTGCTGAAAAGAATTTGGTGCGGCAAAACGGAATGGCAACCTTATGCTGGTGATCAATGCGCGATGAGTGGTATGACGGTTGTGAAATGAGGTCTGGCTTCATTGATGGATTGTGAAAAAATATCTTATGAAAAAATGCAGTCGCACCAGTTTCCTCCGGACAGTTAAACAGTTAAAATGACATGAGAAAAGAAACTAAAAATAAAAAGTTATGAGGGGGGGGGGGCACGGGCTTGATGTGTAGACGTGGACCATATGATTACTTTCGCAAGCTTCCCTTAATTACAAGGAGAACAAACTCTATTTTAATAAAACTGAGGAGAAAGTGTAATAGAGAAACGAAACTTTACGAATGTAGCAATAAAAAAGCAAACTAAAGGTTATTATCTCCTGATAAGGTCCTTGTTAGCTCATGAGCGTGTTCACTCGATCGGATGAAACGGCACAATTATTGCTGCGTATTGTCACGTTAAAGAGACAGGAGACGTTTTTAAGGCGTCCTCACAAAAGTCCGAAGAGCGGTCGGCTCAGCGCAGCCAAAAACAGAACAATGGCACGAGGGGAACTGCCACTTCGTCTGCCTCTTTTGCGCTGGCAGATCAAGCGCGCGGCACTGCCCCTCCTCCCTGAAGAGCATCGCCTCGATGCTAAACGAAGCGTGTATCGTAAAAAAAAAAACATTGTCACAGTGTGTGGTACGGTTTTAACCGCACCACGTGTACAATCTCGGGTCGTAGCTGTCGGCGTCGGGGTGGTTGGCTTCCGTCCGGAAGGACTTCGTAATTGACGTCGCTCACTTGTCGTAGCACTTTGTACGGGCCAAAATACCGACTGAGAAGCTTCTCAGAGAGACCTTTGCAGCGCACAGGGGTCCAAACCAACACCTGGTCACCTGGTTTATAATCGACTTGTCTGTGGCAGCGGTTGTAGCGCTGTGCATCGACGCCTTGTTGTTTCTTGATGT